ACTTGGAAAATTACTTTGCATGTTGGATTGGCAATATGTGAAAAGAAAAAAAAAGGCATGAGAAAAACATTGCTTTACAAACCTTAAGACTTAATAAAAATAATTTGATATTGTATGCATGAAAGCATTGTAATGTTTACTGATAATCTGCCAAATTTTGTTAACATATGCTTACTAATTTAGAAGTTATAGCATGAAAACTATAACAAGCACAAAATGTTTACGAGGTCAGTCCCAGGGATGAGCTCATGCTGAAAGTTAAGATAATTATTTTTGATGTGTTTCATTATTTCTGTGGTTTCTCTAAAATTATCTAGTCATCATATTATTGACTCAACCAATATGTAAACTAGTAGTCACATGACTATGGCTTTTGGTATTATGTTGCATGGTATTTGTTTTTCACACTCCTGAGGATGATATAAATGACATTGAAACATCTAGTGTCTTTTACGACCATTGATTGATTTTTGAATAAAATTTAATTGTGTATTATACAACGTTGAGTACTTTAATTATTTACACATGTTTCTTGAAATTTAACCTATGATGGCACAATAAAGCCAAACAGGTAGTAATGAAACCATTGCTTAGAGCAGATTGTAAACTATTTTCATCAATGTAAAATGGTTTGAAGAGTAACTTTTTGTTTCATGGGCAAGTAATTTGCCACAGCTCCTGTAGGGAAAATAAAGGAATCAAATGGGAAACTTAGAAGACTTGAGAAAAATCATATATCTGTGGGTTTTTATAATAATTTCTTTAGATCTTGTTTTCATTATTGAAAAATGTTTTCTTGGTAGATTATACCTGTTTGAAATATTATATGACAAGACATCAGGTAAGCTTAGTTAGGTTGAATGAATATGGTAGGTGACAGAAAAATATTGATGACTCGTAAGTTATTGAATATTATTGTTAAGTTTGTCATAGTCACACGACACAGAAATAAACCAATTTGTTTATTGAAAAGGAACTATACTTACTAGATGTAATTTGATCTCCACCAAGAATATTGTTAGCAAAACTCATGATACTTAGCATGACAATGATAATGGTGACTATTTTGAAAGGTCTGGTTATAGGTCACCCATAAAGAAATTGATGAGTAAATGAAACTTGGTCAGTGAGAGCAAAAGTTATTTTTATATAGTTAAAGTCATGCATATATCTACACCCACCACAAATATATATACATAAGGTGTAAACAAAGATGCAAAAAATTACACAATGTAAAAAAAGAACTATTATTTTATGATAGAAGACAAACTATACTAAAAATACTTTGGTGATAGGAAACATACCTTCCTTACTGAAAGGACAGTTACTCTGATGAAAGGAATCATATCTTCCTTACTGAAAGGACAGCCACTCTGATGATAGGAAAAATACCTTCCTTACTGAAAGGACAGCCACTCTGATGATAGGAATCATACCTTCCTTACTGAAAGGACAGTTACTCTGATGAAAGGAATCATACCTTCCTTACTGAAAGGACAGCCACTCTGATGATAGGAAACATACCTTCCTTACTGAAAGGACAACCACTCTGATGATAGGAAACATACCTTCCTTACTGAAAGGACAGCCACTCTGATGATAGGAAACATACCTTCCTTACTGAAAGGACAGCCACTCTGATGATAGGAAACATACCTTCCTTACTGAAAGGACAGCCACTCTGATGATAGGAAATGTGCATTCCTTACTGAAAGGACAGCCACTCTGATGATAGGAAACATACCTTCCTAACTAAAAGGACAGCCACTCTGTCACATTCAGTATATCACAGGTTACTTTCATGGTTTGATTGTTTTTTTTATTGCCTGTATTATTGATGTTGTATCTTCAAAAGGAGACATTATTCATGTGGTTTTTTGTTTTATACCTGTACTGATAGGTGTGGTACCTTCAAGAGGAGACATCATTCAGTGTATCACAGGTTACAGCAATGCTTTTCACAAAGCTCAAGGAAATTGCTGAAGCATCTTTAAAAATTAAAGTCAATGACTGTGTTATTGGAGTAAGTATAACAAAACTGTTTTTATAATTGCTGTATTGTTTGTGTGAACAAGTTTTCAGTAACAGTTCAAGTCAACTTACAGTTCAATTTTTGTTAATGGTTCTGAAGAAACTTTTGAATTTGCTATTATTTTCATGATTTTTTAAATATAATTTTGGTATTAACTATACTATTTTTATGGGGGCAACAGAAACATGGTTATTGCTATTAGATATAAATTTAAAGAAGTGGATTGTTTTCCCCTGAATATCATACCTCTGTAGTAGCCTGCTGTTACATAAAACATACCTCCAGTTTGAACATTTTTTTGAAGACGACCTGTTGTGAACCTAGATATATCATACAAATATCTTGTACATTGTAAAAAGTTAACTTTTCATGAACATACATATATCACCTGTAGCTTTCACACTCGGGACGATGACATACCTTGCACCTAGATATACCAGATCTGTAGTTTTCACACTTAAAACGATGACATGCCTTGCACCTAGATATACCATTCTTATAGTTTTCACACTTAAAACAATGACATGCCTTGCACATAGATATACCATACCCTTAGTTTTCATGCTCAAAACTATGGCATGTCTTGCACCTAGATATACCATACTCTTAATTTTCACACTTAAAACAGTGGCTTGCTCTGCATCTATATGTCCCCTAACTCATGTCAGGTTTGTACTCATCACAAGTATGACCTGTGCTGCACCTATACATACCATATTTTTAGCTTTTTGTTTTAGAAAGTTGGCCTCTGCTGCACTAGCTATACTGTAGTTTTAGATTTTAGAAAGTTGGCCTGCACTGCATCTTGAAATACTATTGTTGTGGCTTTCCCTTTTAAGAATGGTGGCCTGGTTTGCCACCTGAACTTAAGTTATGACATGAATAATAACAACAGAGGTTTGACCATCTCGTTACAGATCTTCCTAGGTCAGGGGTCAAATGGCATGTCATAATGTTTGTAGACTTGTATTCAAAATTTTATTGAGCTACTATTTTATGAATGTATGCTAATAAGTTTCTCACATTGTAGATCATTCAAATTTTAGTATTATGCATTAGTTAATTTCATAATTTGAAAGTAAATATCAAAACAAAATTCATAAATATCTATTTTTCTGTGTCAAGTGGTATGTTGAATGCAGCTTTGGTTCAAATTACATGTTTGTGATGTCCAAATACAAAGTCTATACTTTCTCATGAATTAGAAACTTAAATTACCGATGTTGACAGCTAGAATCTAAAATAAGAACCTCCTATCTTTTCTATTTGCTGAGATATCACTACATTTACTGAATCAAACACAGTGGCCCCTCTCACCTCTTTTCATTTTTGGAAATTCTTATGTACACCAATTTCTGTCCATGATGTGAATAACCAGTCAAAAGCTCAGAATGTCCCCCACATGGTTTTCTCAGGCTCTAGAAGGTGGGAAGTTCCCAAGATTATTTCTTTGTCTCGAATCTCAGAAGGAAAAGGTAAGTGAGAATGTTGTCCAAAAACTATTTTTTTTACCCAAGTACAGTTTAGTTAGTAAAACTGATAAATTACAGTGGAATTCTTCAATATTGATAGAGTAATTTATAATATTTGGTTATTTCAAAATGCATATATAAAACCTTAAAAAAATGTATTTACATTCTCCATGTGCAAAATTTTACAAGGCTTAGCAAATTACTGCAAGCAGGCAAATGAGTACAAACTTTGCAAGTAGAAGAGATCATTGTTCTATATTTCTTTATTTACAGTTCTAAGTTTTAAGAAAAATAACTGAAATTTAGGAACTTATTTATAAATAGTAATAATATATATATAATGTATTATAAACAAAATGTGACTGTATTTTACAAAATACTGGTTCACTAGAACAAACCAAAGACAGGTCTTTTGTGAAGGTCAGTTTTATGCCATTGGATATGGTAACATGAGTGCATATCCACCACATCATTGAAACTTCTGTAATATTAGTTAGATGCAACTGAAAGGTCAATAAAATAAAAATAATGGATATATATAGATGGATAATGTTACAAGATTTAAGCTATTTAGACTAAACATTTGTGGTTTCTATTTATAATTTGTAGTTGTTCTGTTAGGGAAAAAAGCATAATTTATATCTATTTCCAAATTTTTTATGTTGGTTATAATGTAGAGAGATACAATAGTGAAATTAACAGATAAAATATAAAGTTTTTTTTCTATAAAAATTATCTGGAGGTTATTAGGAGATTATATGCATGTGAAATTTGACAATCTTAAAACTTGATAAAAAAAATCTGATATTTTGTGTACTAAAGCCTTGTAATGCGTACTGATAATCTGCAAATTTTTGTGAAGATATGCATATGGTTTTAAAAATAATACCATGAAAATTATAACAAGCACAAAATTATTGAGGTTGGTCCTTGGAACCAAGCTCATAGTGAGAGAGTTAAACATTTTAGAAATTCCTTTATTTTTAACTTGTGAAATCAAATTATTTTACTGAAGCTTTTATGTATGAGAGCATGTCTGTAGAGGCAAAATATGCCTAAACACTTTTAGTAAAAATATATATATATTTCCATTGTATATGGAAAATTTATGTTTGACAAAAGCTTGATTACTAATGTTATGTGAACAAACATGTAACTAAAGCTAACGAATAATTGTAACTTTATTATATGTATACAGTTGTCCTACTAAGTAATTTTCTATTTCAAATTCACATCTATATTGTGATATACTCCTTAATATAGATCAAAGCTTAGTCAGATTATCTTGTTAAAATATTTTCATTGTTTATGTTAACTCTCTCAGCACGGCCTCTGTTCCTGTGACCGACCTCGTAACTGTTTTGTGCTTGCTATAGTTTTTATGCTATGCGATTTAAATTAGTAAGTGTATGTTAACGAAATTTGGCAGATTATCAGTAAACATTACAATGCTTTGATACACAAAATATTCATTTTTTGTTAAGTCCTAAGGTTTGTAAAGCAATGTTTTTCTCATGCCCTTTATTTCTTTTTGCATTTTGCCTATCCAACATACAAAGTAATTTTCATTTTAAGATTAAAAATACTTTTATGCATCAGAAAATTGTTAAATTTCACATGCAAAATCTTTATAATCTCCTAATAACTTTCAAATAATTATCAAACTTATTTTTATAGAAAAAAACTTTATATTTTATCTATTAATTTCACTATTGTATCTCTGTATAGGTTTGGTCGATTTGACCGACCTCTTAAGCACCATAGAAAATTAGGAAATAGATATATATTACGTTTTTTCATTTTAGAATGACCACATAGTTTAAATCTCGTAGCATTATACATCTATATATATATATTTATTTATTATTTTTATTTTATTGACTATTCAACTGGCCCTCCCAGTGGTACAGCAGTATGTCTACAGGCTTACAACACTAAAATCTGGGTTTCTATACCTGTGGTGGGCAGAGCACAGATAGCCCATTGTGTAGCTTTAGCACACAAATAAACCTTTCAGCTGTGTCTAACTAACATTACAGAAGTTTCAATGATGTGGCACACGTGCACTCATGTTACCATATTCAATAGTATAAAACTGGCCTTTACAAAGGGACCTGTGTACAGTTTTTGTAATAAAACAGTATTTTGTAAAATAGTCACATTTTGGTTATAATACATTACATGTGTGTGTGTGTGTATATATAATTACTAATTACAAATAAAGTAAATAAAGCAATATAGAAAACAATGATTTCTTCTACTTACACAGTTTGTACTCACTTGCAGTAATTGGCTAAGCCTTGTCGAATTTCGTATGTGGAGGATGTAAAACAAAATAGTTATATTAGGTTTTATATGTGCATTTTGAAATAACCAAATATTATAAATTACTTTATCAATATTGCAGAAATCCATTGTAATTCATTAGGCTTACTACTAAACTGTATTTGTGTAAAAAATATTTTTCTGAGATTCGAGACAAAAAATAATCTTGGGAACTTCCCACTTTTTAGAGCCTGAGAAAACCACATGGGGGACATTCTGAGCTTTTGATTGGTTATTCACATGTCATAGACAGGAATAATGTACTTACGCATTTCCAAAAATGGAAAGAGGTGAGAGGGGCCACTGTGTTTGATTCAGTAAATGTAGCGATATCTCAGCAAATAGAAAAGATAGGAGGTTCTTATTTTAGATTCTAGCTTGTCAACATTGGTAACTTGAGTTTCTAATTCATGAGAAAGTATAGACTTTGTATTTGGACATCACAAACATGTAATTTGAACCAAAGCTGCATTCAACATACCACGTGACACAGAAAAATAGATATTTATGAATTTTGTTTTGATATTTACTTTTAAATTACGAAATTAACTAATGGATAATACTAAAATTTGAATTATAATCTACAATTAGATACCAAACTTATTGACATACATTCATAAAATAGTAGTTCAATAAAATTTTGAATGTGAGTCAACAAATGTGATGACATGGCTTTTGACCCATGACCTGTGTCGATAGGGTTAAAAGCGATCAAAGAAACAAAAGCACTAATCTGTACATAGGTTTAGATTGTACACTGTTCTGTGTACATGTGCACAACTTTACAAAGTACATAATCAATAACTGCTATATCATTTCAGGCAGGGCCTAATATAAAGTCAAACTCAGAAATTTATGATTTTAGGTTCCTGTATATTTCACTGATGTTGAAAGGAGAGCTATGTTGGATGCTGCTCAAATTGCTGGATTGAATGTCTTAAGATTGATGAATGAAACAACTGCAGGTAATTTTTTTATTGTGTTTGGGTTGAATTTAGTGTAATAGTGGTCTTTTTAAATGTTTAGTTGAATATTAATTTTCTCGTAACTGTGATGTTTGTATTTGTGTAAGTTATGAAGAATTTTTTTATTGTTTTTATATTGACCATGAATGTTGGTGTTGTTGATATTAGTTAAATGCTGGTATTTAAAATATGCTAATATAACTAGTTTTTAAAAGCAGGTAGTATCTTAACCAAATTTAACTAGGAGAACTGGATGCATTGATTCAATGGACTTGTTAGGTAGTTTGTTTTTAAACACTGAGTTACTATCTACAGCTTTGAAATTTCAAGATTTTGTGTGAAATGTTTTTTGCAAAAATTAATAATGCTTATATTTGTTGTTGATTTTAATTACTAATTTTTGTCTTCCTACATTCTTTCAAACTTCCCTACAAAATAGTTTTTTAAACCTGTGAATTTTATCTTTATTTTCAGTGAAAACACAACACACATTTTAACTGTTTACAATCATAGCCTATAATAAAATTAACTTTTATCTTACCAAAATTGTAAGCAAACAAACTTTTGTATAATTGTTGATCAGAAGGTTTAATTTATATATGTAATGAGATTTGTATGTATGTATCTATATTTAAGTGATTTTCTTTGTTCATTCAAGCAGTTACTTAGGCTGGTTAGGCCTGATATAAACAAGGCTTAACACAGTATCTTTGTCAGTGAAATAAGACTTGATACAGTCAAATAAAAAATGACTTAACTAAGCCTACCTCATCTTGTTCTACAAAAAAATATTTTTTCCATCATATTCCGACATCATTATTGAAATGGAGTAAAAAATGATAAAGCAAAGTTTCAAGTAAGACCATAATGTAGTGGAAGTTGTTTATAAACATCTTTTCTTCTTGCAACATATCACCAAGCTAAGATTTTATCACTTTGTTCTGAATAAAGCAAGGACCATAATGTTGTGGAAATTGTTCATAAACATCTTATTTCTTCTAGCAACATATTACCAACATAAGATTTTATCACTTTGTTCTGAATAAAGCAAGGACCATAATGTAGTGGAAGTTGTTCATAAACATCTTTTCTTCTAGCAACATATTACCAACATAAGATTTTGTCGCTTTGTTCTGAATAAAGCAAGGATCATAATGTTGTTCATAAACATCTTTTCTTCTAGCAACATATTACCAACATAAGATTTTATCACTTTGTTCTGAATAAAGCAAGGACCATAATGTTGTGGAAGTTGTTCATAAACATCTATTCTTCTAGCAACATATTACCAAGCTATCATTTTACCACTTTGTTCTGATCTCTGTGTGGATTTTCACTGAATTGGAAGCATTATCAATTTTCATACTTGTAAAGACTGGTGAATGAGCTTACATATTGTGTTACATCAGTAACCTATGATTTCTCACTAGAGGAAATTACATCACAGTTGAGGTTAAAAAGCAGTATATTCATTAAATGTACACTTTTCATCAAACTGCAAGGACAGTTAAGTGCTATTTTGTTTTAAACTTGACCTGTCGGGGAGTGAATAGGTCAAATCATTTGGAGAGTTAGAGAAGCTGTTGGCCCATGTGATGCACAGATTCTTTGACTGATTTTATGTTAATCTCTCTTAAGCCTTGTAGTTCAGTCATTTAAGTCAATATTGAAAGCTGTGACCTTCTTTTCCAATAACTTAACATGAAATTGTACAAGCTGTATCAGGTTTGTTTTTCATCTTTAAATTTGTGTTAATAATATTTAACCCTATTGTCCCGTGTACCCTTTACTGAGCATGATACAAGGTTTCAGTGTGTTACATTCAAAATTTCATTAAACTACTTTTTGTTTATGTTATACCAATTAGAATAGCATTAAATCTTAGCTAATAATCTATATTTTAATAGTATAGAAGTTTTAAGTTCTTAATTCTACAAGGCAATATTTAAAAAAGTCCTGAATTTCCACTACTGTGACCCACGTGACACAAATTGTCTTGGCGTGTCATCATCCCTATTTTATCCATCACCCCTCAAAATTGTACAAAATTAAACATAAAATACTCTATAAAATTGTTACTGCTGAAATAAACCATAATTTTTATAGCTTTCAATTTTGTTTGGTTACAGAGCTATCAAATAGAAAATCACACCCCTCCTACCACACCCACCTGTCACATCTTCTCTTTCACAACTCGTTGATAGTTCTCTCTTACGTTTCATGATATATTACCTATAACCAATAGAAAGTCAAGGTTTTCTTCTGTCAGATGACATATTGTATAACGTTGTGTTCTGAACAGATAATCAATTTTACTCCGAGTAGCAACATCATTCTCGTAGGAAAGTTAATGACTGGCTTGGATGAATTTGTAATGGCTCTTTTAGCGTAGTTAGAAATCCAGGAAAATTTTGAGAGGTAAGTGAATTTGTCTACTTTTTGCATGTTATTAGTCTATATTCTCTGGTGTATTATTTAATTAACTAAAAGTTATTTAGTGCATTACTATAAAAAAAATCAGGCTTCTGTCCTCAACAGTCGAGGGCAAGAAAAAAGATTGGGTACATACTTTATTTCTTGTTTTTCATATTTGTTTTTTATTTGTTATTATAAAAGTAACTAAAATCTAAGAATAGAGATCTTTTGTTATTTAAGACTAGATTAGGTAAAATAAGTAATAATAATTAAAGTGGTTCACGAGGTACGCACGCAAGCAGCTCTTGGGTAATGTAATTCAAAAGCTTAACGTGAGCTGAACATTACACAAGTGATTTACAACTTATAATGGTACATATAGCTGATAGACACTGTTCAAAAAGCAAGAAAACAATATAATTTAATTATAAATGGATGTATACTGTTACAAACTTAAGAGTTACTTGGGATAAATGAATGTAGTTTCATTTTCCAATTTGAAGTTATATTAGAAAGAAAGAAAGGGTAATTTAGGTTTATTTTGATTTTTTTTAGTGGTTACGAGATCAGTAAAATTTACCAATCCAGTTTTGAGATAGGGTAGAGAAAATAACGGAGAAACTATAAAGTTTTACTGAAAAAAAAAAACGTTTGACATGCAGTTAGGAGGTTTTAGGGATTACATAAAGGAAATTTGAAATTTTTGAAATGAGGAAAAGTATTTTAGTTTTAACATAAAAATTACTTTGCACACAGTCTATTCAGAACAGATACTCAATATATTAATCGACAAATCTTTATATTATTAAAAATACTTCACTAAAAATAAGATTTTTTGTATGTGAAAGATTTTGTGGATATATATATTATATTGAAAGATAGGATAATTAAATCTATAAAGACTATTCAAGTACAAAGAGGTCATGTAGTGGGTCAAATTGACTGAGCCCTTGTTGAGAGAGTTAATACTGATTTAGCCTGTTGTGATATAGACATCAGTAGCAAAGTCAAACACATACAGTACTTTAGATTTACCACAGATTATATTTTAAATAGTTGCTTTGAATTATGGTTTATTTACCACAGTTTATCTTTTATATAGTTGCCTTGAATTATGGCTTATATACCACATTTCATCTTTTATATAAGTGCCTTGAATTATGGCTTCTTTACCACATTTCATTTTTAATATGTTTGCCTTGAATTATGGTTTCTTTACCACATTTCATCTTTTATATAGTTGCCTTGAATTATGATTTTTTTACCACATTTCATCTTTTATATAGTTGCCTTGAATTATGGTTTCTTTACCACATTTCATCTATTATACAAGTGCCTTGAATTATGGTTTCTTTACCACATTTCATCTTTTATATAAGTGCCTTGAATTATGGTTTCTTTACCACATTTCATTTTTAATATGTTTGCCTTGAATTATGGTTTCTTTACCACATTTCATCTTTTCTATAGTTACCTTGAATTATGGTTTGTTTACCAAAGTTTGTCTTTTCTATAGTTAATTTGAATTATGGTTTCTTTACCACAGTTTATCTTTTTTATATATAGTTACCTTGAATTATGGTGTCTTTACCACAGTTTATCTTTTTTTATATATAGTTGCCTTGAATTATGGCTTCTACAAGACAGACTTAGAAGATGATAAGCCTAAAAATGTAGTGTTTGTGGATGTGGGCCATTCAGCTATCCAAGTATCAGCCTGTGCTTTTACTAAAGGTAAACTTAAGGTAAGGTTGGTCATCTTCTCATTGTGTGCTAGTGGTGCTATGTAGCAACAGTAGACCAAAAGTATGTTTTAATAGGTACTTGTTACTTAGAAGTAACCTAATGTTTGTTAGGTGATTGATTTTATTAATATGTTCTTTGTTGCATGATTTATCACGTTTCTATAGGGTAGTAATCTGGTAACAGAGTCATGATGAAAAGCTTAATCCATTCTCTGAATGACAAATGCATTGCATTAGAACACTGCTGGTGTCACAGCATGAAGCAACTGTAGGCAGAACCTCAACCTTCAAGGTTTTCTTGTTGGTGAGAGGACTGTGTGCATGTTGTTGGTTCTGTTGTGAGACTTGTCTTGGATGTGAACATGGCTTCTGAACTCTGTCTCTGACAGGTTAATTACAGGTTTGTAGTTCTGATGTGAGACTTGTAGTGTGACCATGGCTTCTGAATTCTGTCTCTCATAGGTTAATTATATGTTTGTAGATGTGATGCGAGTTTTGTCTTGAATGCGAAAGTGGCTTCTTAACTCTGTTCCAAAATGCTATTATATCTCAATTTCAATATATTAAAACAAGTTTTAAACTGGCAAAAATTTTGTAAGTGTTTAGAACCTTTCTTAATTCTTATTGCTTTCATTATAATTTTTGTATTTGATATGAATAAGTAGAAATAAGCTGCCAATAATTTATTCTGTGTGGATTTGAGAAAACTGTTTTACCCTGAAATTTCAGTTCTGATAACTTGTTCTTTGGGTTTGGAAACATTTTATCACATGAAATCCTAGTTTTGTTAACTTCATAGCCTGTAGTGATAATTATTAATTTGTTGTGCTGTATTTATAAACATCTATGAAAGGAAATATTAAAGTAATGTGTTTTATTAGGTTATTTGTAGTTTGAGCAGGTTAAACAGTAATTTTAATTAAAAAATATAGACAATTTTAGGTTAAATGTATTTACGAAACCAGGACATTTTTATTAACAGATAGTTGTTGTTGTATAATTTAAATTTTTTTTATCATAGTGATTATGAATAATGGTCATGTTAAACAGTAACAAAGAACTGTCTTGCTTGTTCTGTTTTTATATTACATGTTATATTACTACAAAAGAAAAATATTCACTTTTGCATTAGAACAACTGGGAATTTACAAGTTATGGCAAGAGTAAAGAAGATAAATATATTTTCAGGATTTATAAGCTGTCAAAGATATGTAGTGTAGTTTGTAGTTAGATATACATACTATTCAATAATTCTTTTGTAAAATATACCAGATGCTAGCTGCTACGTGGGACACAAACGTAGGAGGGAGAGACTTTGACAACATACTGGTTCGTCAGTTTGCCGAAGAATTTCGCACCAAGTACAAGGTTAACGTCATGTCCAGTAGGAAGGCCATTGTGAGGCTGCTGAACGAGAGTGAGAAGCTCAAGAAGCAGATGAGTGCTAATCCACACGAGCTACCACTAAACATTGAATGTTTTATGGAAGACAAGGATGTTGCAGCAAAGATGAAACGGTCAGTCGATTTTGTCCAAGAATAATTTAGTGAAGCTAGTCTAAAAAAATCATCTTTATGATCTGTTCAAGAAAACTTTTTTCCATGCTAAAAGTAAATTAGAAGTTACGCCTGTAAAATAAAGAATATTAGCTGTATTTGGATCATTGGACTTTCATTGGTATCTCTTTATTTTTACCTTTTCACAGTGGAAATACTTGACTAAATTCCATGAAACTTACTAAATGGTATCTAGTTTTGTCTTAAAAAATTCAAATGATTTGATTTGTATATCACTTTTTATGTAGTGTAATTTCTAAATATTTTTTGTGAGACACTGTTTTGAAAACAAAACCTTTCATCTCAGAATTTCAATTTTTTTTTTCTTGACATAAAGTATCATTTGATGTATCCAGGCAGTTTCAGCATAACTTATGTTCATTAGATTTTAATTTTAATACTTGCAGTGATCAGCACTTCTGACTATAAATCATACAAAGCATGGCAAAAGGTGACGAAGATTAATTGTTGACCCAGTATCTGACATTACTATTATCTTGTCAGGCTTGGTAGTAGTTTTGCTAACAGTATTCTTGTTTCAGATTAATTTATGTCTAATAAATATATCCTGATTTCAGAAAATTTTTTTATTTATGTGTATTGTTTGATTAGGATAAAGTTCACAATAATACTCAATAAGAATATTTTACCTTCATCTTCTGTACTTATTAAGCCTAACAATACTTCCAAAGCTTTTAAACAAATATAATCTAACTAAAGAAATTTTTCAAGGATAAAAAGATTGTTTAAAGAAAGAAAGAAACAAACAAAAAATTGCCAAATGTGTTTTGTTCCTAAGTCTTCTAAACTTTCCATTTACATTCCTTTGTTCATCCCTGTAGGATTTCCATCTAGTCATTTTCCCATGAAATCCTGAATTACTTCTCACATCACTTTATTCATTTTACATTGATGTAAATACTTCATAATTCTCTATCCAATGGTATTCAAACCTTGCATGGTTCTATTTTCAAATCTTTGCTTAATTAGTAATTCAGACCACATACTGTAACATCATAAAAGGGTGATAACAAAAGGCTGCAATAACAAAACCGTTATAGAGAAGAGAACATCTCATGAGAAACAATAAATGAATAGTTATATTCTATGGGGTTGATAGGTTTTTTTTTAAACATATGCTGTGAAATGGGCAGAACAGTTACAAAATATCTAAGTATGTTGTTTACAGGCAAGATTTCCTAGAGGTGAGTAGAAATGAAAGTTTAAATAAAAAATAATAATAATAAGTTACTAGAAATGTAAATATATCAGTTCCAAAATATTTTTGTTAAAAGTCATTGAAATAAAGTTAAGAATTATTTGTACTTAATTTCGAAAGTTGATACACAGGTTTTCACTTGATGCCTGAATGGTGGTCTGGATAGGGTTAATAAGAATATGAAAATATGGATTCAGAGATGACAATAGTACAAGCATTTTCTTAGCTAACTTTCAGTGAAAATTGTTAACCAAGATTTTAATAGCTGAAACATCAGCAGTTGCTTACCACATTTTGAGATACTAGAGGAAAGAAAGGTTTTAACGTGTTTTATTGTTGGGTGAGTTCTTTTGGATTAATAATAATGCCAAGTTTATTCCACTTAACAATAATGAGTTAATTTATTTTTTTAGTAAATGTTTCCTAGAGTTACATTCACTTGTAGGCCTAGTTTCTTATACATAAATGTTTTGATAAATTTTTGAAATAAATGTAGGACTTGCTTCAATTACAACTTTTCACAAATTAACAATTTTGCAGTTCTCTCACTGACATTTTTTCCACAGACAATCACAGTAGATGACATTTGGCTTGAACTGTATGTCTTCAAATCTATAAATCATATTACTGATCCTTCCCTACATCTGCCTACCTTTGAAGTTAGTTTTTTTTTGCAATAAGAATTGTTCAGCTGTACCATGCCACCTTGATGTAATACAGATTAATTAGCATTAATATAAGAGACTTTTTATTTTTTACAAACTTATTTAACCCTTTGCCATTGGCATGATATGATTCGTAGTACCTAACATCACTATTGTTGTATTTTGTTCCAAAAATAAAACTAGTGGATAAAATTGTTTAAAATTTGACAAGAACTTTCCTAAGAGCATGTGGTTTCAGAAAAATAAAATATTTAACTTTGATTTTATTCTACTTTTTCTAATAAAACAAAAATTATTTAATTTACATATTTGCACTCAGACTCTGCATATCTGATCTGCAAGGTGATTTTTATATGAAGTAAGAAAATGCTATTTTAATCTTTCAAAATGATCTCTAGAACCTGCTTAATGAATATCAAAAGTTTTTAAGTAAATATTTATATTTTATTTTCTATTCTCTCCACTATATCACTAACTTTACCTATTATCATGAATGTACAGTGTAATGAAATGTATAAAATTAAGAAATGGAAATATGTAAATGCCTTTTAGCTCTTCTTAGAAGTCTTTTGAAGCTTATTTTTTTAATATGCATAATTTCACATCTTTATCTTTTCATTTATAGTTTATTTTTAATTTCCCTTTCCAGTTCATTGTCTTTTATTATTAATGCCAATATGGCAACTGGTGCTCGCAGGGCTATATTATTGTTATTATTATACGATGACCCCCCATACAAAGACTTGTTTCACTAATGCTCTAAATACGCGAATGACACCATCTTGTTTATACACTTTCACAATCCAGGAAACAAGTTAAACTTATAAAAAATCATTAAAACCTTTCAAATATTATTTTTAAAACACAAGTAATACATAATTAACTAAAATATAAAAGTGAGACCTAAATATAATTTAACTGTCTCTCTAACTGTAGCATGTTAGGTAAGAAACCACTATAAATGCTATATTTGATCAAGCAGACAACAATTCTAACAGCGGGTACTTGTATACTGCATGCCAATTTCAAATTAACTCTTGGTGTGGCATATTGTAAACTGAGCTTTTTCTAATGACTATATACACTTGTATATCTCATTGTAGATCTCAAGACAAAGTATAGAAGGTGGGTGTGTCACCTATCAAGGGTTGGAAAATTTGTCTGTTTACCAGTGAATACAATTCTAAGACTTTGTATCTTAAATGTCAAAAGGGCACATAGACCTACATTGACGTCTAGACAGTCATATAAATTGCATGTGTGTGTATGTGTTTATACTTTGCTCCTGGTGAAGTGGGGATTTGTCATAGTGCATGGATCACGTGACATGAAACTTCGGTTTAAGTATTTTTTTAAAATGTTTCATTCGAAACAAAGGAATTATAACTTAGATAACATAAAAATACAAATTATAACATACATTATAATGTTAATTTCATTGACTTTTATTGATAGTAAATTGATTTGATTAAACACTGAACGTAATGCAGTACCAATGCAGAAAGGAATTTAAAAATTGTGCTGGGGCTATAGGGTTAAGACTATCCAAGGTAAGGTCATGTATGACATATTATTCTTCAGGTTTGACACTAGTACAAGTATTTTCTTAGCTAACTCAGGACATACTTGAATGTTTGGTGCTACTATGTTCCAGTCACTAAATAAAGATTTATTTCTAATAACTTGTGAGTATTTCACTTCCAATTTCTGGTTAACCCTCTGTTGGGCTTGAAAACTCATCGTTAGGCTATTGTATTATTGGCTTATTAACAACTGTTGATTGCTCAAAGTCTTGGCTGTAATGGTCAAGTATATCACATCTGTAACAGTTTCTTCTTTTTAGTATCCTTTGGGAGATGTGTATCTCTGTATGCTTTTGTTTTCTGTTCCTGCAATATGTTCTATCATGTTATACTAGGAAAACCTAGTGTAGTTCTTCTAGACTTTATCAGAGGGAGGTGTGTTTTCATTACTACTTGATCTGATGATCCTGTAACTTCAAGATGGTGTCTTTAGCTGCTGATCTGTGACCTTAATGAATTCTAGATCTGTCACCAACTGTAGAGCTTCCTTTAAAGATGTACACCTACTTTACTTCACCCTGATTCTCATATTTTCATCTGCTATGACATTTATGAATTGGTTGTGTGTCAGCAAATCCATTATTTCATGAGGAGTGTCTTGAGATGATAATTGGGCAAACTGTTAAAAAGCTTCTGTAAGTTTGTCTTAGGTTTCTTCTTTCTTCCATACCCCATTATGGAACATTTCTTTGGATACTTCCTTCTGTTGTGTTGCTCTGAACCTGTTGGGTAAGGCAGTTACCAATACTTGACATTTATTACAGTTCCTAGTCTGAGAGTTGCTTAACCTATTGTCTTAACTTGTTGTCACATCTCTTTGAAAAGTTGTTCCTAATCAATCTGGGTATATATATATATATATATAAGTCTTATTTAAGTTTGCTGTCTTGTAATCATAAATAAAACAAAATATTTTGCATTATATATATATATTACAAATTGTTTATTATTTGCAAAAAGTAGTAAAATGGGTCAAAATTTTAAGGAACAAATAGTAGTGTTATTAAATCTGGTCCTTTTAATTAAATGGATAATGAAGATGAATAGTTTGTTGTTCACTATTCCTCCTGTTCACTCCTAAAATTATTTCAAATTTAACTTGATATATCTTCCAAGGTACATTTCCATCATAGTATTTGGTTTCTCAATTGGGCATTGTTATTTAATTGGCCAGCTAAATTTTTGAACTGGATTAAGAAGTGATATGGTTGGAATACTCCAGGTAGGTCCTGCAGTAATAGATGATACAGTAGTTGTGGTACTGGTGTAGACCAGATAGTGGCTCCAATTCCATATTTAGTAGGAACTGGTGTTTTAGGTTGAAGTGTATGGTCAGATTTTGTGACTGGCTTAATCTTTATATTTACTAGTTCATTTACCAAATGTGTTATTTGGTCACAGATGTTTTTTCTACCTGATTGATCTTGCTGTTATAGTCTTTCCATAATTCATAGATGTCATTCTGGACTTTGCTTTTGACTTTAATAATGTCCT